CGAGGTCAGGCCCGCGATGCGAGCACCCTCCCTCTCCGTCCGCAGGGAGGATCTGTGGGTGCGCGGAGGCCGCATCCTGGACCCGGAGAAGCTGTTCTTTGAGGAGCGGCGCGTGGCCGATGAGCGGCGGGACTGCGGGGGCCGCATCTTGGCGCCCGGTTTCATCGACGTGCAGATTAACGGTGCGGCTCGGGGACGTCAGGGGGACGCAGGGGAGGAGGTCTGAGCTCCATGCGACACCTCCTTTTCTGTGGCCGCAGGTGGATTTGGTGTTGACTTCTCCCAAGCCACGGAGGACGTAGGTTCGGGGGTTGCCCTGGTGGCCCGGAGGATCCTGTCGCACGGCGTCACCTCCTTCTGCCCCACCCTGGTCACTTCCCCACCGGAGGTTTATCACAAGGTGAGGTGAGGCTCCTTGGCTGAGGCGAAGGGGGCTCCGGGAGCAGCCAGCGCCCTCATTTTCAAACTCACGCCCCACCCCCAGCACGTGCTCCATAGTCCTGAGTCTGGCCCCCCTTGCTGACCCGACTTGGACCAGGGTCCCGCCCCTGTGCTGCTTTATCAGTTGTCGCTCTGCCTGGCCTCCCTAGACCCTCTGTCCTTCGCAGCTGTCTCCACACTGCTGGCTCAGCACCCTCTGAGCCATAGGCCGGCCCCACCCTCTGCACTGCACTCTGGCTGCCTCCAGGCTTCAGAAACTACCCCCTTAACCAAGGTCGCGGGGGACTGTGATTGGCACATCGATAGTCCCTGGTCAGGCTCTTCCTCCCTAACCTGTCTGATGTGTGACTCGGTGGAACACGCCTTCCAGAAGCCACTCCCCTGTACTGCTTGCCCCACGCTTCCACTTTCCTTCCTGTCCGGAAAAAATTTGGTGGTTTTTGGTCTTTCTTTATTTTAATTTTTACTTAGGTTCTCCAGGGTTAACTCTTTGCTGTGTGTTACTATTCAAGGCTGTACCTGTATTGTTTTATACTGAACTATTTGGGAGTAGGTTGTATCCAACATGCCTGTTGCTTTTTTTTTGTTTAGTTTTTATTTTTAAAAGACGGGGTGTCTTGTCTGTGGCCCAGGCTGGAGTAAAGTGGCGTGGTCGTAGCCCTTTGCAGCCTCAACCTCCTCTGCTCAAGAGATGCTCTTGCTTCAGTCTCTTGAGTAGGTATGACTATAGGTGTGTGCCACCATGCCCAGCCAATTTTAACGTTTTTTGTAGAGATAGAGTCTCACTGTGTTGCCCAAGCTGGTTCTGAGCTCCTGGGCTCAAGAGATCCTTCTGTCTTAGTCCCCTAGAGTAGCTGGCACTAAGGGCTTGTGCCACTACACCTGACTAATTTAAAAAGTTTTTTGGGTTGGGCATGGTGGCTCACGCCTGTAATCCCAGCACTTTGGGAGGTCGAGTTGGGCGGATCACAAGGTCAGGAGATCGAGACCATCCTGGCTAACACGGTGAAACCCCATCTGGAAAAAAAAAAAAAAAAGTTTTTTTGTAGAGACAGGGATCTCATTATGTTAACCAGGCTGGTCTCAAACTCCTAGACTCAGGAGATCTCCTGCCTTGGCCTCCCACAGTGCTGGATTATAGGTGAGAGCCACTGTTCCTGGCCCATCATGCTTGTTTATTTCTTAGTACTTAACTGTTTTTTGTTTGTTTTTTGTTTTTGTTTTTGAGACAGTCTCACTCTGTTGACCAGACTGGAGTGTAGTGGCGCGATCTCAGGTCCCTGCAAATCGCCTCCCAGGGATTCTCCTGCCTCAGCCTCCCAAGTAGCAGGGACTACAGGCACACACCACCATGCCTGCCTAATTTTTGTATTTTTAGTAGAGATGGGGTTTCACCATGCTGGCCAGGCTGGTCTTGAAATCCTGACCTCATGATCTGCCCATTTCAGCCTCCCAAAGTGCTAGGATTACAGGTGTGAGCCACCGCACCCAGCCAGTACTTAACTATTTCTTAAGATAATGAATATTTTCTTACATAGCCACAAGAGTTAGTGAGTCTAGGAAATGAACACTGTTAACAGTACTTTAATTGAGCCGTCTGTGTTCTAGTTCTGTCCAGAGCCCCAGTCAATTTTCCCCTCCAGCATAGAATTCATTGCAGGATCACTGCTTGGGTTATGCCCGAGGGGTCCCTTTCTTGGTGTGTGGGCAGAGCCAGAGCTGGGAACAATGGGGGTGGTGTGTGGGTTCTGGGCGCAGGCTTTCTGGATTTGGCGTTGGCCTCCTCATGTTATGTATCAGCTGAAAGACTCAGGACAGCCTACTGCCTTTCTGAGCCTCCATTTCCTCAAACCTAAAGTGCGGATGATGGCAGCATGCATATCATGGGTGCTCAGCATTGTGCGTGAGATGCTGAGTGTTAACCACTTAGTATCAACCGTGGATGTCTTTTTGGAAATTTCCCACAGCCCTCCCCACAGAGTCAAATGTCAAAAACTGGCACCTGGTCCTTACAGCTGTTCTCTGGGGCTTTGGGGCCTGCTAGAGCGACCTGTCCAAGATTCAGGATTCAGCACATCACCTCTGCCCTGCCCCCACCTGCAGCTTTCTTTTCCTACCTGTCCAGCCTCTTCCTGTCTTCAGGCACATTCCCCACTCCCGTCCCCAAACTCTTGGCCTAGAAGACCTTGGCTTGCTCCCTAGGCCTCCTCTGCTAAACCTTGCCTGCCTGTCCCCACTGTGCCCCCGAATGCCCGCGCATCTCTGGCCAGCACAGACGTGGGAGGAACTATGGCTCTTCTTCTTGAGGAAGAGTCTCTGACAAGTAGGACTTAGTTTTCTTTCCCAGCACTCACTGCAGTGCAGGTGTCTTTTTTTTTTTTTTTTTTTTTTTTTTGAGACGGAGTCTAACTTTGTCGCCCAGGCTGGAGTGCAGTGGCGTGATCTTGGCTCACTGCAACCTCCGCTCTCTGAGTTCAAGCGGTTCTCCTGCCTCAGTCTCCCGAGTACCTGGGATTACAGGCACCTGCCACTGCGCCTGGCTAATTTTTTGTATTTTTAGTAGAGATGGGGTTTCACCATCTTGGCCAGGTGGGTCTTAAACTCCTGACCTTGTGATCCACCCGCTTCGGTCTCCCAAAGCGTGCAGGTGTCTTACCCTTGGCGCGCACACAGGATGAAAGCAGAGAGCCAACTATTGAGAGTGGGAATTGGGAGGCCTCCTTCCTGAATCGTCTTAGAAACTGGAGGCCCCTTCACCTGTGTCTGCCCTCCGCCATGCATGCTACCTCCTCCAGGAGCCATTCACCCTGGGTGGAATTGGATGGTCACCTTGCTAGAAGTTTCCTCGGTCTTTTGTTGTCCTGTTCTGGTCCATTGAGACCGCCTTCTCTTCCGGGTGGTTTCCGCATGCCCTTTGCTATGGTACCTGGAGACAGGTCAGATCACTTTGTTCTCTGCTTCAAGTCTGTTACCTGCTGAGCCAAGGTGAGGCACCTCCAGGGGGCAGCCAGGCCCCTGCCTCTGGCCCCACACGCTCTCTGCACTTTGACCTTTCCAGCTGCTTATCTGCCTGGAGTGTGCCTCACTCCACTCCCCTCGGTTGATCTTTGACTGTGTTCTCTCTATGTAGCACTCTCTTGCTCCCTTCTAAAACTCTATTCTAGAAGAACTCAGCCATTGCCTTTTGTTGTTGTTTTTTCCTGTTTTAATCTTTAGTGAGCCTGTGTATCCACAGGGGTTGTGAGGAAAAACAGTGGCCCTTTGCCCCAGCCAGCTTCCACCCTAGGGACAATCACTTTCAACACAGTGGACTCTTGGAATTTGTCCCCATAGCTCTAAAAACTGCTGGCTGCTCCTCAGTCTTTCAGCTCAGGGCAGAATCCACTGTCTTCCACCAGGAGAGCTGAACATCAGCGTGCTTGTGGCTCCGTGAGTCCTCTTAGCCCCTTTCTTGCCCTTCATCCTTCCCAGTAGTTCCCCATAATTGTGATGAGAATAGCCGCGTAGGTCAGTCAGCAGCGTGGTGTGAAGGGATGTGTGGCCCAGTGACATCTTCTCAGCTACCATCTCTGCTTGCTTTGCCGTGAGTGATCTTTGTTTCGTTTCTTAGCTCTAACTCAATTCCAAGCTTCCTGCTGATTGTTTCACTCCCCTCTCTGGTCATTTATTTATTTTTCTTTTTTTTTTTTTTTTTTTTGAGACGGAGTCTCGCTCTGTCGCCCAGACTGGAGTGCAGTGGCCGGATCTCAGCTCACTGCAAGCTCCACCTCCCGGGTTCACACCATTCTCCTGCCTCAGCCTCCCGAGTAGCTGGGACCACAGGCGCCCGCCACCTCGCCCGGCTAGTGTTTTTTTTGTATTTTTTAGTAGGGACGGGGTTTCACTGTGTTAGCCAGGATGGTCTGGATCTCCTGACCTTGTGATCCACCCGTCTCGGCCTCCCAAAGTGCTGGGATTACAGGCTTGAGCCACCGCGCCCGGCTATTTATTTTTCAAGATGGAGTCTCCCTCTGTCACCCAGGCTGGAGTGCAGTGGGGCGATCTCTGCTCACTGCAACC